AAGTGGAAAACCGCATTAAAAATTCATTATAAATATAATATAACTTATTATACTATAGTTTATTGATATCCTATAAGAATGATTAAACTTTGATTTGGCAGTTATCTAGTTGTAAAATACATGTCATCAATACATTTATTATTTGAACTAAACCAAGTACGCGAAAACAGCGTTACATGGGTGTAATTGGGGTGACTGTATTTGAAACACATAGAAGGGGATAGACAACAGAAATAGGAGAGGGGTTGGTAACAGAGTTTGTGAGCAATTTGTAAATGTCAATGTTTATATTTTGAAATAAAACACTTCATATTTATAAAATTGTTTAATAAACTAATAATATTTTAAACTTTAAATGGCTGAGTACGCTAGTATTTTATTATTTAAATGTATTTTTCGTTAAATACTATGCAAAATGAGTAACAAATATATAGTAAAAATAATAGTCGCAAAAAACATATAAATATGTACTGATTTTGAATTTAAAACTTTTATTTCACGCCTAAATAGACGTCCAAAACAATTGATATTATATTTTATGCATAAATTTTAACAAAAATTAGTGAACATATTCTTCAAATTGAAAGTGATTAAAGAAATACGATATGATTGTCGATATATTGATAGTTAATATCAGTACTTCCTTATAATTAAACAATGTATTTAACTATTAACTAAATATCTATATCTATATTCACAGCTATTAAACTAGCTTTAATGCTATGATTTATGTGCATCTGATTTAGTAAACGCTGTGTTTAAATATATACTTTACATAATATATGATATCTATTGTATAACTAATTAGATATTAAGTTAATTTATTGCTTGATATATCAAAAAACGCTATTTTCAATGTTAAATACAAATTAATTATAATAATACTGACGATAAAAATGTAAATAAAGTCTAAATAAAATATTTTTCAAAAACTCTGAACAAAAGCCTTGTTTTTTGTTGAATGTTATCACAAAAAAGTGTTATTTTTATTAACATTTGAATAGATATTAAAATATAAAAAGAAATATTTTGACGATTGATGACTGAATGGGAATAAAAATAAAAATTATAAAAAATAAAAATAAATAACTGAATAACGAATAATAGATGTAAGTATTGGATATAATTATTACATTTATGTCATAACTGTTTGATGTAATGAATTGCTATTTCAAATACAATACGTAAGTAGTAATGAAAATACACGACAACATAACTAAATAACAAAATTTTGTCATTACTTTTACTTTAATTTCAATCAAACACAGCATTTAATTCTGTATCGAAAAATAAATATCAAGGGAAAAAAGTTTATCTCAAATTAAATGTCAATTATAGCAATGAATTCATTAATAGTATTTTTGGTTAATGTGTTGAAAATGTATGTATAAAATTACCAAGTCGTGTATTTGCGCAATTCCGTGATGAATAGACCTGAGTTTTATTTAATTGATGAAGTTAATTATGGGCACACAGGTAGGTGTATAGGTGTTAGTCACTGCACTCAACTAACGTAAGAGTCTTATACCGGCCACACCTTTATATCATGTTTAGATTAAGTGCTAAGTTGTGTCAATTAAACTGACTTTTCTACAAAAAAATACAAGTTTTGTATTTTTAGTCTTAAAAACTGATAATTAAAACATGGATTAGTGTTTTGGCTGTCCGTAAGACATGTCGTGTAATGTATGAGTTTTGTGTAGCATTTTTTAAACAGAAATTTAATACTTAAAGTATAATACGATTTGTTTGGCTATAAATAAGTTTCTGTAGAAATATTCTGTCAATCATTAAACGAGAATTTTTTTTATACAAGTTTTTACTGTAATATAAAACAAATTACTAATCGTTTCATTACATTCAGTGAATAGGTTTGTGAAGCGGAAAAGTACTGAATATATTTTTGTTGTTGTTTTAAACTTTTACATGAATTGCCATTAAATTCATACACAGAATACAGTATTTACTTAAAATAAAAGTATTAATACATTATTAAACATTCTATCATTAAAAAGCACTAAAACCCAGAATATTCTTTAACAAATTACTTCATAATACATTGATTTTCAGTTGACATGCAATATCTCTCTCTCTCTCTCTCTCTCTCTCTCTCTCTCTGTTGTCTATCCCCTTCTATGTGTTTCAAATACAGTCACCCCAATTACACCCATGTAACGCTGTTTTCGCGTACTTGGTTTAGTTCAAATATCTCTCTCTCTCTCTCTCTCTCTCTCTCTCGTTGTTTAGGAAATATAGAAAAAGATGATTTTGAATAATCATTTAATACTAAAATTAAAATCTAATAAATACATTGTATTCAATACAATAATCGCATAATAATAATAATATCAATAAAATGATTGCGAAAACCCTTTTGCATTAGATTTAATATATTTTCAATATAAAGGCGTGAATACAATGAAAGAGTGGACAGCAATTTGTGATAATATAAAGTTATGTAATAAGCGTTGAATTTGCTGTACATATACTATATATCCGTTTATACAACTAAATGGTTCAATGCATCCATAAAACAATCATACCATTCATTTTCATATACCATAAGTACCTAACCATGTACTGTAGTATCAACTATAAGCCAAAGTACCTTGGGATAAAAATAGCATATTTCGTACTTATATAATATAATGTCAATGTATTTGTAAAATACTAATCGTTTTATTAATATTTCTAAGCCTAAGATATAATATAAACAAATACTGTAAATATAATTAAATTTAAAGCCTAATAAATACAATAAAAATTTTTATATCTAAAAATGCAATTAATTTCATTACCTGACAAATAAAGTTAAACAACAAAATTTCAATTGTATTTTATGGTTAATAATGGAAAAAACAAAGATATTATCAGTTTATATCATAATTAATAGAAAAATACGAAAACAATTAGTAATCAATTCTCATTAAATTCAATGCAATTAATAATACGCTTATAATTAACAGTAAAAGTAAAACTTATGTAAAAGTTTAATGCAATATAAAATATATGATGACATCATTCATAGCGTAATTGATTTGAAGGCATTTTGAGTGTTGTATTGAATTGTATTGAATACTGTATTTCATTACAAATATGTAAACAACTATTGATTTACAAATTAAATCTAGTCTTTAATTATAACACCATTTAAATCACAATTTAACACAATTTTTATCACTTTTTTAAATAGTTTTGTTGTTTTTTCTATACAAACGTCTATTGAAACCACAAATGAATGCATTTTATATGAAGTGATGTTTTTATCAATCGATTGTCACAAATAATTATCAGCTGATTATCACTCCGGAAGACGGGTTACCATCGCTGAGTCATTGGTGTCATCCATAGGTAATCGTCGCAAACCATGAGTCAACTCATGAAACAATTATCAGCGATGGAGGGCTTCTCGTCTCCCGTGGGATCCGCTGACACTTCAGACCCGAAGATCACATGCAATAAGATAGCGATCAGAAACCAGACGCTGTCCATCGATAGGGGATGGGAAGGCATTCCCGAAAGTATTCTTCTCAATCTAATCATATGTTTGGTATGTCTTTGGCTGAACATGTCTTCACACATGCATTCATTGATTGTCTTATTTTTATGTCCGATAAACAGATACTAATTGTGATATTTATAATAACGAGACAATTGGCCAGAAGTCGGCAGCGGAAACGCCAGGACAGAGAATCGACCGAAAATGAGTGAATAGTCTTTTGCTATCTTTGTATTATTATCATAGGATTGAAATCTGACCATTGATTGTGTGTCTGTTTTTAGTGACGATTCATGGCTTCAATTCATTTATGGCGACCGAAAGAGCGCTTCGGGCGACGGAACCGATGAGCCGCCGATCGGCCGAAACCCTGTGTGCGCTCCGATTCCATACCATTGCCATCAATTGAATGACGCGAATATGATATTCCCGCCGCCGAACCTCTCGCCGTCCACTTCTCCGGCCAATCAGTCCATCAATAATAGGGCACACATTGAGTCGGCCGACGAGTTCGCCGGCGAAGACTTGGCGCACAACGAGTCCATTGAGATTCAGTTCAATCCGGGATCGAATCAGAATTTAGTCAATTTGGACGCTAACCCGAAGACGGGAAGAGGGGACGGGACGGCTGTTAACGGCGAGACCAGTGGCGGCCACTCGTCCAGCGATCACAGCTCTGTCCTTCAGACCGTCATATCATGCGTAAGGCATTTGCTTTGAAGTTATGTTTGAATCTATAATTGAATAATTTGTGTCAATAATAGTCGACAGAATCGTTGCGAAAGTCTGCGAATTGGTTCCACGCCTTCCTTCGCATAAAAGACGACCAGATATTGCTGTCCAAAGGGAGAGACGCCTATCAGTATCTCGTCTTTCAGAGATATATTATCTACTTTTTGGCGTTACTTAGCTTTGTATGCATTGTAATCGTATTGCCCGTCAATATTCAAGGAGATAATGGTAAACATACCATCAACTGATCCAATGAAGCGATACTAATATACTTATTGTGTGTTTAGTGGACACGGATGGCAAGGCTTTCGGTAAAACAACAATTGGTAATCTGAGTTCGACATCAGATTTGCTATGGATTCACGCGGTGTTGGCGGCGATTATAATGCCTATCGTATGAACTATTTATGGCCTATTATTCCTCACGAGTACCACATATTAATACAATGTTGTTTTTAGGGAGTGTTTGCAATGAATCACTTCTCAAAAGTGATCAAATCAGATGACGAGCACATCACTCGCCGAACACTTCTGATTCGACGGATACCCAAATTCAAGAACACGAAAGAGATTCTTATAAACTATTTCCAACAGTCGTTCCCCGACTGTCCCATCACTGGAATGCAAATTATCTACGATTTCGTCGAACTCCAAGACCTGGAGCTCGAGTACCAGAATGTGATGAACGCTAAGGAGTACTGCGGCAGACATAACATCAAAAAGGGTAAAAATATGACAATCAGACCCCACTGTATGGGTCAGTTGGGCTGTTGTTGCTGTTGCTGTTGTCACTCCGTCGACGGTTACGACTATTACAGCGAACGGCAGACAGCAGACATAACATCAAAAAGGGTAAAAATATGACAATCAGACCCCACTGTATGGGTCAGTTGGGCTGTTGTTGCTGTTGCTGTTGTCACTCCGTCGACGGTTACGACTATTACAGCGAACGGCAGACACAAATCGACGGCGACATCAAGAAAGAGTTGGACAACTCGTTCGCCAGCCCTACCGGTTCCGTATTTATCACGTTTGAGACCGAGAAGCAGGCCATGGAGTCAGTAATCAAACATTTAATCTCAATACTTATGTTTTAATTATTTTTTTGTGCTTTTATTTAGGATTTACAAGTATATTAAGGAGAGACAGAACACATGCATGTGTTGTGATTGTGTGATTCGGGCCGCCGTTTGGATGACTAGTGTTTTCCATCAAAAACCGGTCGATTCGCTAGACCTGAGCCGATGGCAGGTGTCATACGCTCCCTATCCCGATGATATCAATTGGAAAGACCTTACAGTCGACTACAAGTGGCTTTGGCTCCGAAAAGTGTTGATATATCTGTTTCTGTTCATAATATTCTTCTTTCTGTCCACTCCTGCCATCCTCTTGAAGGTCATGGAGATATCAATTGGAAAGACCTTACAGTCGACTACAAGTGGCTTTGGCTCCGAAAAGTGTTGATATATCTGTTTCTGTTCATAATATTCTTCTTTCTGTCCACTCCTGCCATCCTCTTGAAGGTCATGGAGTTAGTGGCCGACCAGCAGAAGATACAGGAAGGCTTGGCTAAGATTGTATGCATTCCTACTCTTAAGACAATATCTAATGCTGACTTTATTCCTCCGCAGAGCTCAACACTGAGTGACTTCTTGTCGCCTCTATTGTTGATGTTAATGACGATAGTGTTGCCCATAATAGTGATCACTGCGTGCGAACACTTGCCTTACAAGACAATCAGCGCATTGAATCACGCGGTGATGTGGAAGGTATACGTATTCCTCGTGATGATGGTTATCATCCTTCCGTCCACTGGTTTTGTCAGGTATTTATACACCAACTGGTCATCCGTTAAGACATTTGGTGGTAATGTCTTTGCTATACTTTCAGTACAAACGCCTTTCTGGAGATGATATTATCGACGAATGAGACGAAGAAGTTTCGGTGGGAGTGTCTGTTCCCGGTGGACAACGGGGCCTTTTTTGTCAATTACGCACTACAGGCGGCCTTCTTGGGAAATACGGTGGAAGTGCTTCGTTTGCCCGAACTTTTTCTCTACCTTTTCTACTATCTGTTGACGCGTTCGGGCGCCGAATACAAGAACGCCCGCAAACAAGTGGTCTTCGAGTTCCCATTCGGTGTCAGTTATCCCCGCTTTTTGCTGATCTTCGCGATGACCGTCACGTATAGTCTCGCGTGTCCTTTGATCGCACCGTCAGGTCAGTAGTCTTAACGATAGTTATCTGATTGTGTCTTACCATTGGTTTGTCATTCTTAGGCCTTTTCTATATGATTATCAAACACATTGTCGATCGCTATAACATCTACTATATCTATACGCCCACTAAAATCAATGGTCGGATCCACTCGACGGCCATTCTGTACGTTCACATCGCACTTCTGATGATGCAGTTCCAGGTCTTCACGTTTCTGTTGATGCGCACCAAAGGGTCTAATGTGTTGGCCTTCTCTACGTTTGTCCTACTGATAGCACTGTTGGTCTTCTCCGGCCATTGCTTTTTCCATTGGTTCCGCAATATTAATCACTTGACATATAGTGTACGAAATGGACAGTTGTCTTGTGTTTTGTGTTATCATTTGTATTAATGTATTGATTGTATTACAGGTGACGACTAAATTGAATACAAGACACCGGAAGTATGACTACTGTTCGTGCGCTTACGCGCCGCCCGTTTTCAATGCATTACTGGCCGATGGAGTGGTCACTAAAGAGCAACTAATCGCCAGCAATGGTCTCAACACTTAATCCATTCAAATAATTGACATTTTGTTTAGTAATTCTTACGAGGATTTGATTTATTACCAATTTTTTGAATGAAATATATTATTATTTTTGTGGTTTAATATAAATATTACAATTTATTAATTAATTGATACAAATATTTATCACTTTATTATAATTGAATTATATTCTAGTAATCTTTGTATTATATATGATATGATTTGTTATTAACAGATATTCTATGATTTTGTTTTCAATATATTTCTTATTATTTATTATTTTATTTCTAATTTTAATTAAATTTCTAAATGAAATCAAATGAATAAAACAATTATCACAAAAACGATTTCTAAGTTTTAGAATTGAAATTTTTAGACATAAATTATAATTTACAGAATTCTATGGTTTATTCAATGAGTAATTTGTAAATTAATTTTGTTTTATTGAATACTTTTTTGAATTGATTTCAATATTTCATAAATTGTAGGAAATATACAGAATTTTTCATAGATGTCTTCATTGCTACCATTGTTAACTCATTTTGTTTACGATCACATTCTCAGGCATTTGGAGATCCATTGCTACCATTTTGGTGGTCATTCTTAGGCTAATAGAAGACATCACTTCCAATCGAAACACTCGACCAATACTGACCAGAGATTGGGTTACGAAATCTATTAGGTTTTCGGCGAACTCTTCAGCCAAATGTTCATTTTCTTCTTTTGTCAGCCAATGGCCAAGGATTGTGAGCTGATCCACACCGACAAGTAGTTTCAGTGTCTGGAGTGAAATCACTTCATTCGCATTGATTGTAATGCACTTCAATTGTGCCATTTTTGACACATAAGTCATGCATTTATGGAGACACTGACTACAATCGGTACCGCTGTTACAATCCATGTGACAATTCATGCCATCGATTGTTAATTGGCGCACATTTGGTAGCATTTGATCGATTTTTGACCACCGATTCGGCGAACTTTTAAAACTTCCAATCGATAGCGTCCGCAACGAAACCATTGGTTTTACATAACTGGCCATCAATTGGGTGTCGAAACGCAGGGATGACATCGTATAGAAGGAACCGATCGACAGATGTTTCAATTCTTTTGGTTTTGCTATATTTTCAGCCAAACTCTTCACCGAAATGTTACCCAAATTAGTGGTTAAGTTCTTGAGATCTTTGAGTCGATCGCAAGTCATTACAAACCACTCGTTCCAGACATCGATCTCAGTCTGTGTGTAGTCTCTGTCGCCAGAGAGAGTCAGTTTCCGGAGTCGAGAGCAGTTGGAAGTGATTGTGTCGAAGGCCTGAGTGTCTAAAGTGGTGACAACGAGGAAAAGGCTTTTCATATTTGAGGGCAAATGAATGGCCAGCGATGACAGAGTGATGTTCTCCTCGAATAAGTCCAACAATGAGTTATACCTCCAGTTCTCAAGACTTCGAATGGATGGCAACTTTGAGATAATGTCCACAAGAAATGGTAGATATTGTTCTTTGATGTCAACAACTGATAGGTGTCTGATTTTGGAGAGGATTTGAACCCATTTTGTGATCACTTCCGCGTCATTCATGCCATCGATATCTATGTTACGGAAGTTAAGACTTTCGAGTAGTGGGAACTGATGAACGAAGAGCTCTACTGTTTCGCAACTCAATTGAGTGGTCGAGAGGTATATCTTCTTTACGCCTCTGAATTGGCCGACAATTGTCTTCAAAGGATGAGTCGACAGAATTATACTCTTCTGAGCGATGGCTTCCGTGATATCAATGCATTTCCAATCACTTCTCGGTTTGAATGCCTCTAAATCCGAGTCTTTGATGGAATCATTGAATCCAATGCTCACTTCTCTCTTCTCCCGAAGCACTCGTTGGACACAATCCCTGAACTGTTGTGACACTTGTTTTGCGGGAAACAACTCTTTGATTGACAAACGACTCAATATGAGTGACAGGACATCATCGTTGAGGACACAAGACTTCTCGCCATTGGATTCACTCATCACTTCTCCCTTTTCTTGAATACAATGTTTTTTCATGTCTTTGACTGCTTTTCAATAAATATCTTTGAATTGATTTTCACTTATGTTTAGTAGATTTCCGTTAATTATATTTGAAATAATAATTTGTTATAATTTAAACGATTGCTATAAAAGTGCTAAACAATCAAATATCGTGCACTAATTGTGCTTTAATTGCGTTAAATTACATTAAATGTATGTTAAAATTAAAATATCTATTCGTATATTTGAAACAGTTTTATAAATGATTGCATAAATACAACTAAACTATTGTTATAATTTACAAATTGATAATTTGTTTGAATTTTTAAACTAAAGTACAGTATAGTTATGAGACGATCCGTAAGTTATTAGTGTTTTAATAATTTTATTTCAATTAAACTTAAACTAAAACAATCATAATTTCAATCGACAAACAATTTCTTTGGATTCATTAGATTCTTGGGATCCAATGCTTTCTTCAATTGTCTCATCACATCCATAGCCACGGAATCGTATTGTGTGTTCAATAGTCCGACTTTGCCTCTGCCTATGCCGTGCTCTCCCGTACACGTGCCGCACAATTCCAGTGCTATTTCGGCCATTTCTGTGGCCACGGCTTTCACGCGCGCCAACGCCTGGCCATCACTGCGCGGAACAATCAGAAGGCTGTGGAAGTTTCCGTCGCCCACGTGTCCAAACACCGGACCCAACACTCCCTCCCGGGCTATCAATGCTTTCGCGCGGACTATCATTTCAGTCAATCGCGATATCGGGACACAAACGTCGGTTATAATGACCAGAGGGTCGGGTATTAGGGATCGGCACGAGTAGTACAGCTCGTGGCGCGCTTTCCACAGCTGTTTCCGTTCTGTCGGATCTGTAGAGCACCGGAAGTTTGTGCCGCCATTAGACTCGACTATCTGTCGGACATTGTCTGCCCGGCGCTCCACCTCTTCGTCTGTGGCGCCCGTGAACTCGAGGAATAGAGTGGGACTCACCTCCAGATCAGTGACTTTGCTGTACGAAAGACAGGCGCCGATCGATACGGAGTCCAAGTACTCTACTCTGGCCACAGGTATACTCGACTGCAGGGTTTCGATCACCGAATCGATGGCCGACTTGTCGTCGGGAAAAGTACAGACACCAGACGACACACATTCGGGAATTGCGCTCAGTTTAAGACAGAGTTGAGTAATAGTTCCCAGCGTTCCTTCGCTGCCCACAAACAATGAGGTCAAGTCATAACCGGCCGACGATTTACGCGATCGACACGATTGGCCAGAGGTGTGGGTCACCCGACCATCGGGTAAAACAACTTCCAGATTGAGTACATTCTGTTTCATTGCCCCAAAAGCAACGGCATTAGTACCGGAAGCGCCCGTAGCGGCCATTCCTCCCACCGAAGCGCTGGCGCCCGGATCTATGGGGAAGTGGAGGCCAGTGTCCCGCAGATACTCGTTTAGTGACCGCCAGTCACAGCCCGCCTCTACTCGACAGTCAAAGTCTTCGCGATTCACTTCCAGCACCCGATTCATGGCAGTCATATCAATGCAAACACCGCCGCACACGGCGTTCACACCGCCCTCCAGACCGGTTCCCGCGCCGTACGGTATAATCGGTGTATTGTATTCATAGCACAATCGATGGCATT